GCAGAAAGATTAGCAACATTATCGCGCCGTGGAAAAGGAGAAAGATTAATTATTCATATTGTAGATATCATTATTTAAGTATTACGAAGCTGAGTAAATTCATTTACACCACATACAATTTATGATTGAATTCCAATTTCAAAGAATCTAAAATCGTTGATCAGCATATTTAATGCAGCGTTTGTAGGTACATCGGCGGAGTCATATTATCAGTATCACAGACTGACGTGAAAACCGTCCGTAATTCTGTTATTATCTCAATATTGTACATTAATTTATGGCAGAGATAATGGGAGTTACAAATTGTCGTCATGACGGTTGTCAACTGTTGTTGCAAACTGGAGAAAGAATGTTATTTATAGATCTTGGAAGCAAGAGAGCTGCCAGTGAAGGACGTGACTGGTAGCAGCGATCCCTATGTGAAGGTGTACCTCTTGCCGGACCGGAAAAAGAAGTATCAGACGAAGGTGCATCGAAAAAATTTAAATCCCGTATTCAATGAAACCTTCATATTCAGGTTAGCGGACTTGATCAAATGTAAAAACAGCACTGAATTAACCAGCGTTTGTTTTCAGCGTTTCATTCGAGGAGCTGAGACATCAGTATCTCCAATTCTCGGTTTACGATTTCGATCGATTCTCTCGAAACGATCTGATCGGACAGGTGGTGCTGAGGGAGTTATTGGATTGCACCGACCTTGACCAAGAAGTGGAATACACGATGGATATTCTATGTGCTACGCAGGTACTTAATTCTTTAATGAAATAATTTTCTTTCGTCAAGGATCCCTGAGAAGAGTTTGTTTGTAGTTATTGCATAATGGTATTTTTCTGCTTAGAAAGCAGTATCCGAGAACTTTAAATTCACTTCGTCTTGGATAGCCAAAGCCTCTTAGTTTTTAGATTATCCTCTTCAATCTCTCCCTCAACATTTCTTTGGTAATGGTTTTATAAATTGAACTTGTTTTCGTTTCTTCTTATAGGACAAAGGGAAGGACTTGGGAAAATTGATGCTTTCGCTTTGCTATCTCCCAACGGCCGGACGGCTAACAGTGACCGTAATTAAAGCCAGAAACTTAAAAGCCATGGATATAACGGGATCATCTGGTAAACTTATATTATTATAAGACTCCTTTACGCGATAAAGAGAAAAACACGCGACACTAATAAGAAACTCATACAAGATAATAAACTACAGCCTTATTTATGGGTGTTGGCACTCTTAGTGAATACTTCGAAAAACGTTAATGTGCCTAAATTATTTTTCAATGTTCAATTCCTAGCTATCGTGTCACTTTTCTAATAATTATTTTCTAAAAAAATTATCGTATAATAAAAGGTATATTCAAAATGCGACAAATGATTTGCAGACCCGTACGTGAAGATTTACCTTCTGTGCCACGACAGGCGAATCAAGAAGAAAAAAACCTCAGTGAAAAAGAACACTTTGTTCCCCATCTACAATGAGATCCTGGGATTCGACGTTCCAGCGGAAAACATCGAGGACGTTAGTCTGATAGTAAAAGTTATCGATTACGACAGGTAAGCCGCGAGAGAAAGCACATTGTAACGCAGGTAACAACTGCTTAGCCACGGTTTGCTTTTCGTAGGATCAAATCGAACGAATTGCTGGGCTGCACAGCGATTGGCTCTGCCTTCATTGGCATCGGCCGCGAGCAATGGTTAAAGATGCTGGAGAATCCGAGGAAACCGATAACGCAATGGTACCCATTAACAGAAACGGTCCCTGGTCACATTCCATCAGTGAGTTCAGAACCTCTGCCAGTGAGCCTCAGCTGCTTGAACAGTAGGTAAGTAGACGGTCATTTTATAGTAAAATAAGTAAGTCTTCAGCTAGCCCTGACTAGAACAAGATCCGTCCGGTTATCCCGGAAATCTCCCCACAGTTTTTTCATCCAAAGCAATTCTGTTCATAACTTTGATCTAGATTCATTTCACAAATAATAAATAAGTATAATCGTTGTAACACAATGAGTCCAATAGTGAAGAAAACAGCGATTTGGATCAATGGAAATTTGTTACAGATGAAAACAGTACGACCGAGATAAATATCGCAAGAAATCGCAGTTTTTGTCGGACGTCGGCTTGGGTGTTGTTTCCTTCTGTCGTCGCTTAATGCACACCGCTTGACTGACTTAAGTACAATTTCTATCTCAGAAAGGAAAGTTCGGGAGAAATACAACAAACCAAATACAAAAAAAAAAGAGAAAAAAAATGAAATAAAAAAAGTAAGTAAATAAATAGGAGACACTCTGTGCTTTTTGGAATATAATCAAATGTGGGGAGCGTGAAGTAGTAAACGAATTAAGTAGATCATAGTGGAATGCTTGTAAGAGCGCAGTATGATACACGCGCTGAAAAGCGAGATTGCTCAAACTAAACTTGAAGAAAGAAAATCATAAAAAATGACGTACATGTATAAATGAAAGAAGTACTAAGAAAAGGAGAGAATGAAAGAGAGGAAAAATGAAAGGAAGAGAAAAAAGTAAGGAATGAAAAATAGTTTATTTTTTTGGAACGAATACAGGCTGGTCCTGCGTTTGGCGAATATATGTGAACACGAAAAACGTATTTTATCAACCGTGTCCCGATCGTATAATATATTTTATCAGCGAGAATGTACTATATACATATATTCTAGATCCGATAGACAAAGGTTGTGAAGCGAGAACATTTTTAAGATGATCCAAGGTGTTGGAACGTGCGTATTGTTCCTTGCTTTTAATCTTGCGAATCAATATCCCGGGCCTTCACCTTTATTTTCCGATGGAACACGACATAAAGATAAAGATATACAGGTCGACAGACATTTTCTGAGCAATATTGGAAAATAATTATTTAATGGTGCAATTACTGCAGATCAAAGGAAAAGAATCTTTATTAATCTAATTTCGCGGCTAATAATCGCGGCATTGCGATATTATTGATGTGGGAATAAAACGAGATGATTAATTCATTTCAAATGGCGTGTGAGAATAGTTTGTGGGTGTTCTTGCAAAGAAGAAATTATCATTGTTTTCAAACAGTAATTTCACTATCATTTTACACTACTAAATTAAGTATTAAATGCATGCTGTCACGCAAAGACACTCATGTATAATCCCTGAGATAGCTATAACGCAATCTGGTTATTCCCTCAAATACGTGAACAAGTATTTAAACTTATTGATATATACGTCTGTAAGCTTGATTACAATGCAACGTAAAAGATACATCACTGTGTGTTGAATTATAATAGAAATATTAGCTTGCAAAACAATTCAGACAAATATAATCGCTTTTAATGGTGATCTCCGCGTAATCACGTGGATCCTTCCTCGAGCTTCCGAACAGAACTGTTTCTATCGATCAGTCCAATATATAATAATTGCGAAAGAAAGTTTTAAGGACAATAAACCATGTAACCTCTCCGTTAGACCTCGAATAGAGCAATATCTCTTAACGTATATAATATATAAAACAGTGTTAGCTGTTGTTCTGTCTGAACCAATGCCTAGTACAGACCGAAGCAATTTTAAAAGTTTGGAACAAATGTTTTCAAACACCGAAACCACATAGAAATCTCTTCTATTTCACAATTATGAGAACTGTATGAAATGGAATTTGTGCAGGATACTTTGAATAATACCCTAACATCTTCGAACTAAATGTCTGTGCTAGGCGTAGGAAGTAACCGAGGCAAGAAAACAGAACACAGTGAGAGAAAGGAAAAAATGATGCATAGATGTAGCGAACGTGACGTTTACTAATTCACGCTACCACATAATTTTCGCGCAAATGTTCTTATCTAATCCGATTCGATATAAAAGCTCGTCGGAGGGCAACGTTTGTGATAACGCAATGCAGGTAATGTATAGATACATATTTTCTCTTGTATCGATAGGTCGTGTGATGAGGAACAATGAATTAACGCGAGTTACGTTAAATCACAGATTAGGCTGTTCTTTCATTTGAGTTTTAACTTCTAACTTATTAAGAGTGAATGCACAAAAAGATGTCCTGGAAATGTGTACACAATTAAAAGATTTGGGACACTCTCTAATTCGTATTCTGAAAAATTTTTACCACTTGTGTTTAATTAAATTTGTAACTTCATTACTGACAATGAGCTCTACTACTGAATCAGAGTAGTATCTTTATAAAAGTATTGATCCATTTATGAGGAACTTAATTTATTTTGAGATCGTGACATACTGCAAGTTTCGAACAATGCACAACTTTGTAAGGTTCGAGAACACGGGGCGCGCGTGAGGAGTACGCGTTAAAATAATATCGATTGTTTCAAATGGTAATGGATCCTTCGCTCGGATTTCGTATCGGTTAACGATCAATCATTCGTACGCGAAGTTTTACTTGTACGCGCATATGGGCGTCTCTGAAAACTAGATAGATGGAGAAAAATGTCAAAGAGTGAACAATGTATACGAGAAATGGAATTAAAAAGAACCAGCATTTCGTTCATGACAACACTCTGTGTTCCGTGTAGCTGAAAGTATTTAATCCAAACCTGTATCGAAACATATAAAATACCGTGAATATTAAAATAACTCTTAAATTATCAGATCCTGCCGAAAGATTTTTCACATTAATAAAAAATGCCAAGATTGTCAGATACAATTTACAATTAGTCCATTACAATTTGCAACAGTCTATGAAACTGTATCGAAACACGCAAGAACTATCGGCAGGACCTAATACAGGCATTGAATTAACAAATGGTGATATTATAAGAGCAGTAGTGACACTACGAATACGTGCCAAGATGCAAGTAGCATAGAGCAGTAGAGAACGTAGCATGAACACGTAATGCTTTTAGTGGAATATATAGTAATAATGTATACACGTATATGTACGTAGATATTTGTATATTCTTGTCCTTGTACCAATGCCCGTACCCAGTCAATATGATCGTTAAGCAACCCACCGACTACATTTCGCGATCATCTCTCTTTATAGACTTCCATCTATTGTTTCAGCGACGCCCATCGTTGATCGCCAAATTATATTTTTCGTACCAATTATAAGTATTGTACTACAGACTGAGCTTACTCAAAACTTTGTACGATGTACCACCATGAGTAGCCGTATCATTTCACAGTTGTAATAGTTTGAATGAGTTGGAACTGAGGAACATACATATTTTTTCTACATATTTGTATGCAACAGAAGTAGATGCGTAGTAAAGTAGTGGTTCATGTAATGACTACAATAGGAACTATGAATATTTATTGGTGACAACGATTATGGGGAGAATTGTATTGCAAGAAAAAGAAACGGACGGACAGTATGATTTAGGTTTTCTGATAGACAAATGAACTATAAACAATGTTGATGTTATGTCCACCAAGTAGAATTTGCAACTATTGCTACAATTTCGGACAATTGCGATCAGATATTGATTGAAATTAATGATTTCACTTCATGCGACAAATCAAACTATGTCATATTCATCAGTGTACGAATTCTTCTAAATCTACACTTTTTCTATTCCCACTCCAGCGTACTCTTAATGTGCATATATTTAATTCAAGTGGGTTGCTGTTTTGTACGTTAACGAGGTTTCTGAACGATATCAAGGCACGATGTTCCAGTGAATTCCTCTCGCAGATACCGAGTTTGGAGGGTGATATCTATGGATCGTGCATACATATCAAAACGACGACGCGAATGAATAGACTGGCGTGCATTAATCATTGAAACTTAGTTAAACGATTCTGAAGTGTGACAGAAACGAGCTAGTAAAAGTGAAACCTCATTTCAAGTCTATTCTGATGATAAAAGTGATACAAAGTACGAAAGTACTCGTGTATTTAACGGAAACTACAGAAGACGATGGTACCGTTAATAATGCACATTTTCTAATGAGTATGTATAATCTATGTTGTATATCCGGACACTTAAGTGTCTCTTTGTGATTGTGAATGAAATAAATAAATCGGTACCATACGCATAAATCTTTTTGACCCTTATTCCCTAATAATTATAAGAAATTCTAGAACGATGCGATATGAGGATAAAAGTAAAGGAAAAACTGTCTGCAACATCAAATGTACTTTTCATTTATTTGACTACTTATCTTTACAGATTAGTCTACCTTATTCTAAGATACAACTTTCCCATTATGTTAACTCTAATCGAAACGTTACGATAATACTAAGTATAAAATAAGCAATAGAGCTTATATTGGTATGTAGCAACGACTTAAGTACCTCTACTTAATAGTACTTTTTTTTTTCTTTAAAAGTGCCGGGAATGAAACTGCGTCGCATCGTTCCGTGATCGTCGATAATTGCGATCGACACATGGTGATCACGGTCGCATTTTTCTTTTCTTTTTGGCTTTCGATTTGGAAATTATATTTAAACAAGCATCGAGGTTCCATTTGAAAGGGCTAATCAACATTGCAGTCATTTGTTCGTCGATCGAACATCGATCCAATTTTGTTCGTTTCCTTCATCTCTTTTCCTCTTTTGTATAAGCTGTTTATAAATCGTGTCTTAAACTGTGAGAAAAGTTAGGCCATATTATTTTCCTCCTTTAAATCGCAATTTTACTGTTTTCTTTTTTTTTTTACTCCTTCCTAAGTCCATATAATTTTTGTTGGCTTTCTTTTAATTTGCTGATCAATGCGCAGTTTCTAGAATACGAATTACGATCAACAGTGACGCGGCGATGAAATATCATAGTGAATTATACAGTACAGTTATACATGTATGATAAACAATATAATACGTCGTGGAACGATGTTCAGTCTTTGAAGAAATGTAACTGCAGCGATGTTAAATTATTCCTGTCGTTCTTCTCTTGTGTGAATCTGTATGTATGTGTAAGTATTTATCTCTCTATGAACCGGAAATGGGCTTAAGCTTAATCCAGAGCGGATGGCTCCTATAGCATTACAAATGCTGTACAATTATTTAAACCGTATCGCTTAACCATAAGAAAAACGGATTTAGGATTATAAAACGCTACTTGAGACGCAGATGATGAACTCGATGATTCTCGTTTAAATGATCGCAGCTCTACGTGATTCCGCTACATGTTCTTATTATTTTCTCTCTATGTCTGTTCTCCCTTTGCATGATCATTCTTATGTTTTCCGCTTTGTTTGCTTCCTTAGTTTTCTTTACGATTTCGTGTATATTGACTTTTTTTTATCAATTGATTGGAAAATTATCCTCGCGTCGAGAAGTTCGCGACGACAAGAAAGTTATATTCTAATCGCCGAAGTCGTATTCGATCATTTCCAATTTTTTGAACCGATCTCGCGTCATCGCCGCCGCGATCTCACTTAACGGGAGCAACGCGGCTAAATACTGAAGAGGTCACGATTCTAACGACTAAGCGCCCGAGAAAATGTTAGCTCACGACATTTACGCGCGTTTCTCCCCTCATCCGCCCATGATTACGCTTAGAAAACGTATAACGTTCGATTAAATCTACACGTAAGTATCTCTACGGGCAGTTCCGTATCTAAAAACTTCCGTTTACTAATTCGTTTCTTTTCTTCTTTCGCTTCTCGTTATTTGTGTGTTTTAACACCGTCTATATAGTTCCCGATCACATATAATTCCGTAATGCGAATACCGCGAACATCGTACATTTATGGCTCGACATACCTCGTCGTGCGAATATTAAATCATTCGCGAATTGTACAAATCTCTATTTTCTTGTACTCCATTCGCTTTTTCGTCATATTCACCTTTGTGTCGTTCGCGTTCAGCGATTCGATTATTACATTATCGTTTATTATAATAAGTATACGTGTCAAAATGCAACCGTAAACGCGTGTGATGTCGACAACACTAATCAATTACACCTCGTAATCATATTAATGATGATTAATGATAACTATATCAATTAATAATGAGAATAAAATGTAGTTTCAGTAATAATTATATAGGCAAATCTTTGTTGTAGCGTTGTACTTAGCGTTATTTAAAATATAATAGTAGCGTTACTCTTATGTGTACCGAAGTTCGAGTACGGACAGAAAATTGATTTTTTTCTTGTTAACTTCCTTTATATATATTTATATATATTATATATATAGCAATATGGAGGGAATTCACTAACAACTTGCTCGAAAAGTGCAGCATTCTCACACACCAATAAATAAATATAAAAACTCCTCTGTTTAAAATTTTTGCTCTTTTTTTTTTATCATTTTCCTTTCCTGTTTCCCCCTCTTCTCGCGATACATCCTTATTGATTGCGTTACTTTGCGCTTGTTAAGTACTTTTTCAAACCGTTACCGCAAACTCGAGAAAAGGAGTGCGAACGTGGCACAGGAAATGTAGTGAGAATGTTGTGCTTCCACTGTCCGTTCTTTCTCGATTTTCTTTTGCTTTTTTTTTGTTCATTACTTTTCACTTTTGCCCTCTTCTAACTCCACCGTAGCGAAAATAAGTCGATAATATGCGACTGTACATTAAGTACAATGTAAAATTAACATTATATCCGAAGCACCAGGCACAATCCTATTCCTCACGCATACATGCAGCTCTCTCTCTCTCTTTCTCTCTCCCTCTCATAACTCCCTCGGTCCTCTAATTCTTCCCTGTGGTTTGGTTTCTTACACCTTCTTTAGACATACGGAACAACACGTACAATCATGCAGATAAGCACGCCCAAACAATTAATAGCGATAATACCATTATTTAACACATTGTTGTACACGTAGCATTGTCCTATGCATAGTTGTACGATTAACGAGACCGGCGGTGGACCGGGTGCACGACACAAGAACCGACACTAAAATGACGTTTACAACTAATGTTTATACCGCGACATTTCCATATATTTTTTTTTTTAGTTTCTCCGCCTCAAGCTCAAGAATGATTGATTGCTAGAATGACGGGACCATGCATTTATTTTACATATGTCACGTAAACGGTATATTAATATAATTTTTAGTTCTCTTTAAGTGTGTATCGACATCTAAGAAATTCGGTGAATACGTCGGTGATCAATCACGTTTGTCGCAGCGAGCCTCAACTGTAGACGTCTCGAACTTTTAATTTACAAATTAAATTATAAACCTTTAATAACTTGTTCAAAGTTTCATTCAATAAGCATTTTGTTCTGAATCTACAAGCGCTCAATAGTAAAAAGCTATTCTAATGTACTAACTTTCTGTTGATTGTTTGTTTTATTAATCGTCATTCTACAATTGTACAAATAAGTACGAGTTAAGTAAGTACTTTCCCTATGGAATTTAAGTACTAATTACTCATAGACTCGCTTAACAGCATCGCGACAATCACCGTCGCGGACATAGAACGCTCCGAATTATTCTTATTTACGCTGCGTCCCTCTCACGCCGTCTTTCGCGCCCTTACTCATTTTGCTTTCCGTTCTTACCATCTCTGCGACTTTTTCCTTCTTACGATATTCATCAAAGAAAAATGCATCAAGATTTACAGAGATGACTAAACGTGCGTGTAAAAGGAATTATCGTCATCGACTCACCGGATTGAAGAGATTTACTAATCTACTATACCACGGTATATGGGTGAGCAATAGTGTTTCCCTTGATTCACCGGTGCGTTTCTTTTCTAAGAAAGAGTGACTAGCATTTGTTGTACAGCGAAGCGACGAATAAACGAAAGTCGCATGGTTCGTGATACTACTTAAACAGTGCACTCTCTTAAGCGTTCCTCTTCTACTACTTTGATAATATATTTTTTTAATCCTTGCGTCTAGCCTTCTCTCTCTCATTAATACTACCTTCTCTTTTGCTTTCCCTTACTTCATTCGAATCCACATACGGGCGACACGCTCACACACGAACACAACGCTTGATCCTTTCAGAACCAACGCGAACCAAATTCGGACGAATCCGCATGACTCAAACTCGCTCGTATTCCTTTCCTCTCTCTTTCTTTTTTAAAAGCCTATTTAATAATTCTTCGTCTTTGCTGATTAATTATACCTCGCGTGCGAAAATACCAAGAAATATCCTCGCAGAAAGTTAAGCTGGACGGCTTTGATAAAAAATTAGGATCTCTCTCGAAGGACGTGTGATTATCGGGGAGTAGGAAGTATACTTGCAGGTTGACCGTGAATATAATTATGAATGTATGTGAATAGTATAATATTATCATAGTGTGTGTACATGTGTGTGTGTATGTTCTTTGAAAACGGGACGACCAGAGTAGCCAAAAAAAGCGTTCACCGCCCTTTGCGAAAGTGCCCTCTTGTGCAAACGTCTGTATAATATACCTCCTGCTTTTGTGTGCCAGTATCACTCTGCGCAGATAAATGTGTGGCTGTGTGTTTGTATCGAGTGCATGACGTACGTATTTCTCGCAGAACTGAACTCACTAAGTGCTTAGCCAAAAGGTATCTCATTAATACTAATCGCAACATTGGCGCAGAAAATTACAATCGGAAACACAGGTTCCCATTTTTCTTTGTTCTTGAAATGTGTACACGTCTCTCCCTTAACTGTCACTCATTCGTTCGCCACCCTGCCACGACATTATGTGTTTATGCATAGAATATATATATATATATGCAATATATTTTTTATATATATATTTATGTATACGCCATAGAGATAATCGTATGTACACAGGACGTTACTAGAGTTAGAGGTGTATGTCGAGAAGTTTCTTTCCAGGTGGAAACACGTGAAAAAAACAGATTTCAGCGTGCCACTCAGAAGACTGCTTGCGATTCTTCGTTGCGATTGGATTACGCACCCACGGGAAACACGGGGTGAATTGAAAAAATCGGTCGTCGAGTATTCGCAAGCATCCAGACAGATAGATTCGCGTGTGTTCGTAATTGACTAGCGATTCGAAAGAGAGATAGTGATGCGTGATTCAGTTTGAACTTTTCATTTTCTATCCCTCTCTCTGTCTCTTGTTCTGGGCAGGGCTAGAAAACTTGAAACAAGCATTGAAAATGCACGATTGAGCCCGGCCAGTTGTTAAAAGTTCTCACGGAAGCACTCGACTATCATCTCGTAGAGTCGCGAAAAAGCGAATATTTATTTCGTCATTTCTTCTGTTATTGCTAAAACGCTGAATATAGGGAATATACCTGCTGTTCGACGAATATGTTTTTTGTGCCCACTACTTGATTGTAATAAAAACGATTACGAAAGCGTTGTTGCTCGTTGCTCTTATTTGTAAAATAGCCGAAGATCGGACCTCGTTCATCGTACACTCGAAATCAATCGAGAAGTTCGATGAACGCCTTGTCCGATCTTCGTGTTATTGCACGATACGTTCTTGCCTTTTACCTTGGTACGACTTCAATTCGAATTGAGGTCGCTCGATCAGATTTTTACGCGCGAATGAATGCTGCGGGATTGACTGCTTGAGCGGATGCCCTGGTTGCGATCAATCCGTGACTGAAAGAAATCTGTCGCTATTGCCGTGAAAAGAAAAAAAAACTAGCGAATCGTGTTTGTGTTTCGATCAATTTTGCTACACGTACGCGAAACAGTCTCAGTAGCGTTGTTGGAACTCATGATGCCACCTGTTGAAGTCGATGTGGAAGATCACGATCGATCCGTTGGCTAGACCAGCCAAAAGAAACCTGGAACAAGTACAAGATTTGTTAAATGTTGATATTTGTTAAATAAAATAGGTATATTGCATAATTTATATGTATACTTTTGATCGTGTGAGAGTGCCAGTGAACGCACGCTGCTTTCGCAAGCTGGAAAAGCATATAGAAGGGCTAAATTGAACGTTCGCCAAACTTCAACTATTCGTTTGTCACCGCCAGTCATTAAATATTCTCCGTCTCTGCTAAGAAGTAGACACTGCAAAGTATTTTAATAAACTGTTAACAAATCCATAAAGCATAAAATTGAATATGTTGTTAAATATAGGGTGTTCCGTTCAAGTGAAAACAGTGGAATATTTCTTACGCGGTTGATGTTATCAAAAATATATTTCAATGAGAGTTGTTTCGAACAAAGGGATATATTACGTTTTTTAAATTGATAAAATAATGAAAGAGATTTCAAACAGAACACTCTTTATAATTAAACATAACTTGCCTGAAGATTATCATTATGGGACTCGTGGCGAAGACGTTTCCCATTAATAGTGAATGCTGCTATGTGACCACGTTCGTAGTTTACTACGATTACACCCTCTCGCGACATGGCAATATTTTCAGGGGAGGAGAATCCGTTCGGTGCCTCTAGAGATCTCAGTAGGTCACCGAAAGTCGTATGTACAAGAACTGGTCCGTCTGTGAAGAAAAATGATTTTTCCAAACATTGATTTACATATAAATCTTAATCCAGTAATCGATATATCATAAAAATAAAATGAAAACCATTTTGAAGTTAGATATGTTTTAATAAAGTTGCAAATACGTACAATAAGATCCGGAAACAACCAGTCCCAGCTCGGCCGAAATAACCACAGCAGTTACCGGTTGCTCGTGTCCTGTAAGGGTTGCTCGAGGTGCGGGTGCTTCACCCTCACCAACGATTGTCTGCGTCCTGGCGTTCCAATGCCATAATAGAACTGTGCAATCGGCACTTCCGGATGCTATGTAGCAATCGGACGTGATATTGCATTCGCTGCGCGATAAACATGTAACGACTCCATAATGACCGAACACTATTTGTACGATTTTTGCTGAAAAAGAATAAGATAATTTTTTATCGTATACTTCGTGTAACATTTCCTAGTATTTGGATGATAAGTATCATATATACTGTGTATTTATCAATTTGGTTACCAGTTTCGGTGGAGAAAACTCGGAAGCTGTTATCCCAAAAACCGCACGCGACCAGGAATCTACTATCTACGGTGGTGACGAAGCAGTTGCTTCGTATCTTCAACTTTTGACTGAAATTGTCGCCCAAGTGACGACGCAATGTGGGATTCGAGCTGTTGGCTGCTTGAGCTACAAGCAGATTTATTCCATAAAGATCAATACAATACTAAAATCTTGAAATTAATCGAATCAATGTGTACATTCTCAATTCCCGTAGTGAAATTCAGAATCATTTTTTACACTTACACAAAATAGGATCCATGGATAATGGTTGATTAACAGCTTGAGCTTGCGGAGTATCCGCGTAACTCGGCGATTGCACGGATGCTACAAGTTATCATTTCGTGTTAATAAATTTAGATCATCGTGAAGATAAAATTAATTGAATATCGGAATAAATACCCGCGTAATTGGTATTCCACCTGTTGACAGCGAACTGCTGTCCGGTGGTCACTGTGACCACGGATGGCAAAGGTATTTGCGGATACGTATTAGCCGATATATGACAAATCGGCGAATTCGATGGGAACTTGATGGTCATGCAAACGTCGTCGGGTATGCTCGAGAACATCATCGGTGACTGCAACACGGGTGGCAATGTCTTGTCAAACATCGCGATGTTCTTCTCGTTCGGAACGATTGAACAGAAAGAAAAGCGTGCATTGTACGCTTCCGTAGGCAAACACGCGGTAAAATTCGTTGTTAAGTTAGAACTTAACTCCGGCTGGATTAGAGATGCGAATCTCTATGATGGAGTTTCAGTAGTCTGGTAATTTTACGATTGACGCTGATATCAACGGTAACATTTGACTTAAGAAATGATTGAATAAAGAGAATAGTGCATGATAAGATTGAAGTAACAGACTTAATCTATCAAACTATGACATAAAAATTATGAATCCCGTGGGTGAATCATTACTGTTACTCTAAAACTAATAGAATGCTATTAATTTATGTAATTCGTAATCTAGCTCGCACGTTAAAATCCTTTTTCATGTTTTTCTAAATGGCTTACCTACGATACATTGCACACTCTTCACAACACATAGTGACTACAATGATTTAATTATTATACTAAACAATGACTTCACTATTAAAAAGCATAATGCACTGATGAAATGAACATTGTTTACCAAATGCATCGCGGAACTTCTCGGAGGATGCGGTTCCATCAGAAGCTGCGACGGTGTTTGACCAAAGTTTCGTATTTGATTCTCTATAGCCTCTCTCATAACCGGATCGGTTATCGTGTCTAAATCCACGCTACCTTCGTACGTTAAATAATAGAAAACGTTTGTTGCTCGAACTGCTTCCGGTCCTGAAAAATGTGAAAATTTTATTTAACAACATTTAGTTGAATAGCTCGATTTCAGGAACCACTGCCAATTGCTTGTAGCCGGTATTTCCGTTCGGTCGTGCTCTCGTGCACGACCGGCTGTGATGTCGCGTATTAGGGGTGGCAAGCATTGTCACGGCTGGCACACGTGCCTAATTGGTTGGGACAAGACCGAGAGGAAGCTAACTAAAAACTAATTCCTTCCATACGCGCGGCGAACGCCGGCACCCTCTCTCTGGCTCCTCGGCGTCAGCATCTTCGGAGAAGCGCCGGATATAGAGGCGCCATCGGCAATTATCATCGGTGAAAACCTAATTTGACTCGACCACGCGTGTCCCAACACCCGGCATAAGCCACCGCGCGCGCCATTGTCCGGATGTTATTCTCGAAGCTTTACGGGGAAAGATTAATGCTACTCCGGGATTCTGTGCGACTCTGTTGGATTTTGAGTTACGTCCTGATACTTTCCTCATTATTTCTTCCTATTCTTTTTTAATTCTGTTTCGGGAGCTAACGTGACGGTTTGAAATATATTTGGTTTTCGAGCAGTGGTCCAACTAAACTGAGTATAATTCTTACCTTTCTGTTTATAGCCAAATATTAAATCGATCCACTGGTGTAGTTGACAGGACACAAACTCCGACTCCAGGGCCTGTGAAGCACATGCATACATAAAATCTGAGTATAAAGAAATGTCATTTAAGATAACACACCATTCGATTGATTCGTATAAATTCTTCCGGAGATGATGCCCACGGTGGCAATTCGACATCGCCAACTACGCTGCCGTCTTCCTGTCTACCCAATCGATACCGATTACTGTTCACCAACATTTCCGGCAGAAAGAAGAACTCCGGAATCAGCTCCTGCGAAATATTAACGTTAAACAACATTTTTCATTAGACAAGACTTTTGGAAAGGTGTAAACAAATGATAATGGGAACCTTGACATCCGAAGTATCACGTTGACAATTCTTCCAAGATAGAGCGATGGATGAAAATAGTCGATTGGGATGATCGAACTTGCCGCCCTGCAAAGCCAGGAACATCGTAGTCATAGGCTCCTAAAACATTAGAAATTTCACCGTAGTAAATTCACTTACTAAATTACTCACTCTTATATGTATAAAATTATAGCATGTGATGATAACATTTTTTGCAACGAAATAAAACTAATAGATAACTTAACAATTCTGAAAATAATAGGACAAGACAATTCTTAAACCATCACGGAAGACCACCGAAGGGTACTCGTAAATTGTTATATGGTTTCGCGCTTAAAGTCCTATTCTATCTCCGTCAGTCGTCCGTTCTACTGACAGGCTGATGAATGTTAACGGAGGACCCCCCGTGATCGGCGCGTAGGCGTCGCAGATATTTCTGTGATTTACAGTCGCGCTTGCGTGCACATTTTTCGACAAATCGCGTCTGAAAACGTTTACAATGATGCAAGAAACGAGCAATTTTAGATTTTTCACGACGGTCACGGAGTGGCGGCGTAGCATAGCGCGAAGACGCCGCGTGAAAATAGGCGCGGAGGAGACAGGAAGCGCTGCAGTTATAAAGCAATAAATTGTTTACGACCCAGTGTATCCTTATAGGTAACAGCAGGGCGTCGTGGCAGCGAAACAACAGTAAAATCACTTATTGATGATTTGCATGTAAATGCGAGTGAATCATGTTTGCCCGTGCGAGCCTCGCCATTTACATGAGATTCGATCACTGCTCGCGCGCGTACGCGTACAACAGATATCGATTGAACGTGTAATGGATATGCTCACTCTGTAAACCGTGATAATAAGTTAAACTGGCGAATAATGGAAACATTACATATTTTGTATGCATTTTTCAAAAACGGAGACAGCAGAATGAAGGACAACTGAGAATCTCGATCGAGAATTCACTATTACGTACAAAATATGGTATTTAAAGTGGTATTGTTTCGAATTATTCGGCCTGTACGATTTAAACGAGAAATATTGAAACTTTTAATATAAACTTACTACGCGAATCATCCAGTTCAAAACAAACGCAGATGTGGAGTAATGTGTGCCGTAGTGGAAAGGCGGTATGCTGTCGTGTTCCCAACTTTGGAAGCGTTCCTCGAAGTAAGCCCTTCTGCTGGGGTTTAACGCCCCGATTGGCTGTTAAAAGACACAGAAAGATTCAATAATAACCGTAGAAAAGACATGATGTACGTGCATATCGTTTCTTACCTTTGATAGATCACGGTAGTTACTAGGTAAACTGAGATCGAGCTCTTTTGTCTCGTAATTGGTCAGTACCCAAGGGAATACAGGGTACTGATTCAAGTCATTGTAAGTTCGTCCTAAAAGAAATTTCGTATAAGAAACGCAGACTGCAGTAAGATCAGTTTTTAATGAATTGGGGGAGTTGTACTATTAAATGAATCTGCGGTTTACAAGGAGTCTAAATAAAAACATACATAAAATCCACAGACACGAAGATAAATGAAGGGACTTAATTAATAGCTACAAATGACTTAAATATCATTTATGATGGAGCGGCATGAAGTAACACAGACGTAGTATCGTGGGTCCGTACCAAATTCCTCGGTTAAATGGTGCCAAAAATAAACAAGTCATCAGGGCCTTCCTTTTAATACGGCTAATCACCGGCCTAACTTTTTGTCGCGCTCACCAGCCGCGGTCACTCTTTCCTTCCCTTTCCGTCGCTCCGACCTCATAATGAACGATAAAAAGAGGAAGGAAAAGCGTACTCTCGGGCCCTCTAATTCTATTTTTACGAAATGCCCGTCGCGATTCGAGGGCTCGTGCGAAGCGAGAGGTGCTCCATTTAGTAAGCGCATAACTCAGACTGTGACGGCTAATCGTTCCTGAAATTGTCACTTCTGGAGGTCTCACTCTTCCACCCCCGGAATCTCATTCCGTGATGCATTAGTAACAGGACGGTGTGGTTGCAAGCCCGGCTTCTTCTAATCTCCTACCCTGTCGCTAATTAAAACCCGTCAGCAAGTTTGTCAGCCGATGCCTTCACTCTCATACCCTTGCTTCCTCCGTCGACTCTCGTGTCGGATCATTTAAGCGCGTTTAATTCGTACTACCTCATCCCAGTTCGTCTACCGACTTGTCGACATGCAACGTCCTTATTAAATAGCAACACACCTTTTTATACTCTCTTCAAGTTTATTAATCTTATAAGCAATTAAGACGTAATGAGGCATATTACAGAAATAATAATATTACAGATTGAGTAATGATATTAAACATGAAATCCAATTTCAATTCCCCTTTTAATCTCTCATTTCCTTCAACCTTATTCCACACCACGAAAGAATAAAAAAGGAATGGAGGATTAATATCTCACTTCATTTTCTGAAATTCTGAACTGAAGAACATGTTCTACGTACAAGAATAATTGCAAAGCCGTAGTACCCTAAAAACACTACCCGCTTACTTGAACCGACCACAAACGAAAGCAACAGGAGGAACACGAAAACTGTTGGCGGCGAAGCCGCGTCGTATAAGCCCTGCCACAATGCGTCGTAAATCGTGACGCTGCACGACCGCCGGTCGGACGTAAATAATAGTAAGGCCGCGTTATGCATCAAAGTGATTATTAATGGTAGCGTCGTGGTGAGTGAGCGCTCTCGGAACGCTTCCCGACAGCGGAATGCTCGCGACACACGCGTTCCTATCCGCCGCCGCCCTCGCCGTCGCCAGCGGCCCTTGCTTTTTTACCTAACCACCGCCACCGGCTCGTCGTTTCTTTCGGAAACAACGTTATAATAAGTGCTAGCTGCGAGAAGCTTGTTTTTAACTCGCCACTCTACAAGATCTGGAAGAGCGTGGTCCCTAGCTTGGAGAAAAATTGGTAGGAAGTCCTGCGAAATAGTTACACACCCGCGACCACACGTCTCGTTACTCTTTTATGTCTTATTTGCGTGGGTCTTCGTTTCGCGTGCATCTTATTAGTAAAAGTATTTTCGGCTGGCTATTCATTTTCTGCAACATTAAGAATCTCGTTGGGACGCGTAAGGAAGTGAAAAGTGTTGTGTACTGTATAGTTGATAGGTACAGATTGCTTCCTGTTTCTGCTGGTACAACCGCGTAGGGGAAAGGATTACAAGCCACGGTCTCTTGTAATTCGATCGCAATAACCATAAGAATCAATGCATTATGGTTATGTTAACGAACCCTCCTCGTTCAGTAAGAGATCTGATTAAAACGAGATAGGTATGCAAGGCAATGCTACGTAAAGATACTAAAGTCACCAAGGAACTCGAATCTGTGTACAGGCGCTCGAGTGCGGACGTCTATAATTTTGAACGTAAAATTTAAACAATACAACAGTAAGTAGTATCTATTGTTCGATCTCGGATGTAACAAGTAACAACTTAAACTTTGGAAAACAAACATTTTCTTCCCAATTATTTGCAAATGCATTTCATGTAAAATTAAAGATTATTGGCCCTCTCTTATTCCGCATTGAATTCCTTCATTCGCATTAGCCAATCTCCTCATTAGCCCTCCTTTCTCGCATGTGGATGAGATTAAAAAAAATCTCAAGCGAACAATTAATTAGAGAAATTCTCCCCGGCAGATATCGAGCCGAGAAAACAGCGTTCGGTCCAGTGGCGGCATAGCCGGCGGTGCACACCCACGCGAACCGGCTCGCATCGGGACACGCAACCTATCATATTTACATTGGCCCTACTGTCATTAATTTTTAATAAACCGATGCGACCGAGCAAATAAACAAGAGGGACGGATTCGCATGCGGGAGCCTGGACCGGTTCGATTTCGCAACGTGTTCCCCTGCCGGGCCTTGCCCAATTGCTAGCGATGGTGTTCGAATCCTCTCCCAAAGAAGTTGCAAAATTATGCAGTACTGCAATGATTCGAACTACTTTAATGTCTATTCCAGGCCACAAGATCTTGGAGATTTTTATAAAACTGTACTTTAATTAAGGTTGTATGACTCGTAAGATTTCTACCAACGGATTAAGAAATTTGATAAGATGCTTTAAAGCAATAAACTTCTAGAAAAATTATATTTACAGAGAAGTAAGATTTTAATAGACTGTGAAGTTAACACGGATGAAAATCAACACGTTACTTAGAAACGCTATCATTTTGATAAGACTTTTGAGATCTAGTTACATTGAAAACTATTAACAGACTTGATAAAATCTGAAAAGTCTACGTTTTTTTGAAGAGAAACATGTTCGAAGTGGTCTTGAGCCCATCACTACCAATCGCGCTCCGTGAGCACAGCCTTCCGCCTATCTCTGCTCCCCGTCAACAGACTGTTTATTCGCGCAATTAATACATAATGCTCGTAAATAGTATACGGCGATCCCTCGGCATCTCGCGGCGTTCCGCGTCGACGCACATAAGTATGTACAAATAATTATGCATCCACGGTAATCCTCATTAGAGGGTCGATCCACGTGTAAATTCTTCGTTTACATAATTCGTAAATAACTTCTTTATGGCCGGTCTTAAACGAAGCACCATTTGCGAATATTGATAAAGAGGAAAAATGTTCAAATCCGCGAAAGTTTCCTTCCAATGCGCTTCACCAAATAGGACAGAATACGTATTATTGTCGTAACAATTGTCCCTTCGCCGTTCGCTACTCGTCGAAACGACTGATCAGCCTGATCCGTTATTATAAAAAGGGTAAGGGGGTTAGAGCGTCTCGAGTTTCGTGATTTAGCTTACAGCGCGAGAGCACAAAAGAGGGCGGTCGATATTAAACTGACGGAGAAACAAAGGCGCCGGATTCTATTCCGTGCAAAGAGAAACGGAGATCGCTACGACGCCAGTCCCTCGGGAGAGGATTACCGGAGCCCTCGAGCCCGGGATTACTCGTATGGGGTGGCTAACGGAACACGGAGCTGATTGAGAACATCCCTAATATGCCGCGACAGATTCCATCCGGCCATGCGCAACCATAGACTCCGTCGTTTCTCTTCTAGCTTTCATTTTTTCATGCACTCTCTCATTCCATCTTATTCAGGACCGCGACGGTAAGGCGGTCGAACGTCCGCAGACGTCACATTTTCTTTCCATAACCCGTAAGCCGATACGATTTTTTTTTGCTCGCTGAACTACTCCCTTTTGTTAGGGTTGCCGTGTTTCGTCCGAATGAGAAGGGGAATGATTTCATTCATGTGATTTTGAAAGAAATAATAGTATCCAATATGGAAAATCTTTGATTGTTGAATTTCTAATTGTAATTAATAATAGTGTGGTGATGCATTAGTAATACTTACCAGCAATAGTATTCAAAAACATGAGGTACTCGAAGTTGGATATCTCTCTTCGTTGCCATTTCTGCGTCATGTTGGAACTCCTCATTAATTGTCTAGGTGACATCATTGATGCTCTCCTAAAAGAATAACATAGTTCGGTTCTTTAAATAATGCATTTGAAATGTCGAGTACGCAACGACGATTTGCAAGATTAATATTGTTAATAATAAGTTTAAATGCGGAAGCAACATCGATGACACGATCATTATTATTCTAGTCATCGTACAATTAGACTCAAGAGAAGATCAGCGCGATTTATGACTACAACAGTGATAGGCAGCGCGAACGCATGGCAGATGAATTAATATCTGTCCAACTAGTTTAGATTAGACTATCACCGACTCATCGATATTACAGGCATGCAGTTCCTATCGGTGAATACAAGTTTATGAAAAGTCATCGAGGATAATTTCACCGCACGTTGTCAAACAAGTTTTCATTCGCCAATAAATGCTTGCGACACGATTAGCGAGATATTCAACCTTAATAATAATTCCTTGATATGATATAATTTAATTACATGCTTAAAAATGTAGAATACTGCTTTGCGTTCTTATGAACACATTGAAATTCTTTCGATCATTTTTTCAAAGCTTAAAAGTGTACCTTTCCTCGATTACTTTTAGAAAAGTTGACATCATTTCATGAAAGCTGTTATACCCGGACACGACGCAGTGCTTTACGTCCAAGTTGTAAAACTCGCTCATCGAGTTTTACGGACGCGAGGATCGCTGATTTAGAATTTATACTGGAGACTTTAATGGGCGGTACACGGTAGACGACATTAAAGGAGAGAAGCATGCAACCAAAGCCGGATGTATAAATAAATTTTGGTGTCGCGTGCGCAACTGGCTGATTGTACAAAACTATGAAAACTGATATTAAAAAGTTTTCTCGAATTGAGTAGCACTAACTCTGAAATTTCTTGACATCACAAATTCGTACATCATCCGCCTTGAAGAAGGATGCATTTCATTGTTCGTGCGATTTTCGTATCCGGGGTAGAGGCGTATTTATTTTTCTCGCGATACGAGCGTGGTACCGAGCGTCACGACGCGGATGCACGTTTTATATACCAGCGGATTATTTTTGTTAGCCAAGAATCTCCCTCGGATCAGACGTCTGACTCGGCCTCCGAATATTTATGGCCGCCATATCCTTCTCGTGTAGGATAGGCTGCGCGAGTGCTTTAATGGATGGATCGAAGCGCGGATATTCGCAAACCTCTGTTCTTGCCGCTTGTCCTGGTCGAAACTGTGGGAGTATGTATTGGTATCGGGATGGTATCCCTTTCTTCTCTTGCCAGAGACTCGCTTACGATACCAAGAACAACGTCAAGAATCAAAGTCGTTCGATTTTTTACATTGATCTATTGTTATATGAGGAAGTCAAATTTATTTATCTGCTATAACCGTTGTTTAATATAATTGCATATCATAAGGGATACCTCAAGTTGTAAAAAAGGAAGATGTTTCTAGATTGACATCATAAAATTATACATATTTCTACAATTTTCTAATGTTAACTACGTATCAAAAAGCATTCACGCCGTCGACTTAACACTCCGGCAAACATTTTTCATTATCCCCGATCTTCTATCGTTCGATCCATCTTAACGTTTCGTTCGAACAAGAAAGGACCGAAGATCCGGAGGTCGATCGCGAGCGGAATCCCACGGAAAGGTACAAAGAAACAGGAGACGGAATGCGACGAACGTGTCCTCGGATCCTTTCGATCCAGATGTCTGCGAAAAGGGGGTGCACGGCAACGTGGTTCCTTACCTAGTCTGTGGAATCCCGTATTTGATGCCCACGCCGACCCGCGGTAGCGCCTTGATCACCTTTTTCACCGTCGCCTGGTCCGGGAACGCGAACAGGATCGAGGCTGAAGACAAAAAGGCGTTAAAGTGCGGATTATAAGCGGGCTCAATCCAGACGGCAGGCCGTGTGTCAATCATCCCGCGCGGAAGGAATGGTAGTCAAGGACGCGTTTCTTGCTACCTACCGTCGTCCTGTGAGATGGTTCTTTTGCAAGATGACGGTTCCGCGCGGAATTGTTTCAGGTGTTAGTGGCTGATTGGTTTCTACGAATTAGTCTAGGATGATGTATAGCAGAAGCTGGGGTATTATAGTTAATTGATCTTTTGCAATAGATCAGAGAAGAAATATTTATAACAATTCTACATTTCATCATTTTACACATCTATGTTATTTTATTCATATTACGTATAATTTCTTACGAAAAGGTAATAGGACCTATTCGAGACTATCCAAATGAACAGCACTGTCTTTAACTTTGCATTATGATGTAAGCACTTAATCAAATTAACAGGCTATAAATAATTTGCTGTTATCCCGTACAAAATATATGTATTCCATTGTCTTATAAGTTCTCGCAATTCATACTTCTGCTCAATCAGAGGAAATGATTCATGAAAATGTGTTTTGCAGTTGGGCATGCATGACAAACGCATTTAGAACGTAGTTAGTTGAACATGGAAATATGAATAGAGGATACGCGATGGACTTAATTTTACGGCTTTAATAGCATCGCCGTGGCTCCCCTCAAGAGTTCAAAGGATGGCGTGCAAAGAGACAGTTACCATAAATACTTGCTGGTAATTTATGTATACAGAGCCAGAATATACGAGTCGGACTTAATCAAGGAAGAAGGATAGTAAAAGGAGCGATTAAACAGGGTCGTGAAAATCAAAGAATTTCCTAATTCTGTCCCATAGCTACGATGACTAAACTTTTCTTTTCTGTTTGAATTAACAGTAAATATATCGTCATTTCTTGTATGCCTCTTCCTACCCGGTCAAAATGAAAGGTCTTTAAAAAAGTTATTGTTTTCATAATTGAACGTAGATAATAGTGAATTCGTTACTGAATGAATTAATAAATGAACAACTTTCATAAAATGGCGGCACAATTTTACTTTTATATCATTGCAATTATAAACTTGAAAAAATAATTAAAACTGACCGGTAACTATTTGTACAAGTGTTTGAAAATGGTCCATTTGGCCAGTGGTGATAAGTTTAGTGTTATTTTATGATTAAACGAGACATGAAGCTAATACGAACAAGATTACGCGTGAGAAAATCGAACATTCCAATTCTACCTCGATCTTGAAAATGATTTGTCAAAGGAAAGAATCGTTATCCTAAAATTTATCCAGAAGTCCAATCTTTTAATTAAGAATGAAAGAGATTCTTGTGTCCTTCGTTAACTGCGCAGCAGCTCAATACCGAGAAAAGTTTCACAGCAGTATCCAACCATAAAGTATCCTCGCCCACATATTTGTTTAATCATCGGAGGGATTTATAACAATGCCACTGTCCCTTTAACGATAGGACGCCCGTTCCTGTCTCCTAGTGATTTTTTAATGAACGACGGACTCGCGCGGATGACATTCCGTTGGTTCATCGAAAGTCGCCGGGATATCAGATTAGAATCGAGGACTGTCCAAAGGGGAAATTTATCTCCGACAGGAGAAATAATCAGCGGGATTGCGGGCCCAACGATGCTCGCCAGGTATACCTACGGCGGTAATTCTATGGCGTGTTTGTTCGAAATACGCGCACAATCCCGCGGCCGAGGGGGAACGTAGAAAGCACGTATAACGTACACCATTGACTCCCGAGAAACGTTTTAACACCTTGCTACGAAATCGAGATAACAAGGCCTTCGCTTATTCTCATAATAACGTATACTACAATTTCATGTTAGATATGGAAATGAAGAAAAGATGAATAGTACAGTCAATGTCTCAATGTTCTGTTCACGTTACGATTATGAAATAAACGATTATTACTATACAACAATTTCATTTAATTCCGTACTGTTTATCTGGATACTGTTTACAATAAATGACTTCAGATATAGAAGTCGGGAGATTCCAATTTAGATACCTGTTATCTCATACCAGGTGCTACAAAACTTTTAAGGTACTCAAACATGAAAACACTGTTAATATTTGCCACAGCTTCTTGGGGATATTTCTTATGCCGAAAGCGATAGGAGTTCATGCGAAGGACATTAAAAGAAAGGTGAGCAGCAGGTGTAGCAAGGTTTGGCCGATAAATCGGTGGCGAAAAGGAGCGGATACCGTAACGTGGGACAGATATTTATTGCGTAAAAAAGCAAACGGGGAGCGCACACCTCGCGGCGCGCTTAACATTCCGCTTCCATTTTGCCGGATTAGGTCACACCGTGTGAAATAGCGAGGCACGGGGCGACCGAGCAAGAAACGGAATGTGCGCGCGGTCTTTTGCGAGAGACTTCTCCGCCGCCTTTCCTTTGAAAACAAACGAGACGAATCTTCCACGACTTACTTCGACTGGCCAAGAAAATCTCGATGGCCACGTTCTGGAGGAGATAGCGGCGCGAGAATATCGCGCGGACTTCCGAGAAGTACCATTTTCCGTGAAGATGGTCGCAGTACTTCAGTACCTGAAAGCAACAAGAATTCTCGTTAAAAAGATTTTATATGCACACATCTTTGTTTGATCGATTATATTTATGTATTGTAAGATGAGTGTAAAAAATATGAAATGGTCTTCTATCTAACTTTTATTCCTTCAACGCTCGAAGAAAATAATTATTAAACAGTATGAACAACATTTATGATATACATCTTCGAATGTATTTATTCAGTTTGTATTAATAGAGACGTCTAAGCCAAATGGTAGCTATCTTGAATGTCGAAATGAGGAACAATAAATAATTTGTAGTGTACTACGTACTTGATCTTATTTCACATTAATAAAATACATATACGACGCAGGAAACCATTCGTCTTGAAACTACCTCAACCATAAATCCGCAATAACAACCTAATAAATTACATCCTCTTAAAGTAATTTTTTTATTCTTATCATTTCTCTAACGAGGCAATAGTCACAACTATAATTCTTTTTTGTAAATGTCATTCAAAAGTAGTCGGAGGAGCTCCCTATAAAAAGTTCTGAATATCGAATAACCAGATTTATCCCTTTGTCCCACCGGTTCGTCAGAGCTTAACGTTGCTACATCTATCGAATTTCTCGTAGTCGGCGTGGAAAATGATAAAACAATAACATTTAGAGTAATATTACTCCTTAAGTAGGTGGTCAATGATCTCAGAAAAAATTTATGTGCTTCATTATAGACTACATTCATTTCATCATATTTTTCAAGTACTTATCAACATTCGATCAATTGCAATAGCTAAAGAAAGATATTTTTCTCGTCCTAACGTCATTAATCCACTGTTGAATGATGATAAATATTGCGAATTATAAATAATGATATCTGGAAAACGAAATGGTCAATCGATCCTGGGTTTTGCACACACATTCTTTGGTACCTATATTAATCTTATACAAAAGTTCAAACAATTTTCAGTAGTTTTGATTTAGCCAACATCTAGCTTGAGGGTGAACTAGTGGGTCCGGATAAGTTCACGAAAAATCGACTGGCGAACAATAACCTTCATCAGAAGAAATTGTCTAACTTACATCGAAGAGAAACTAAGCTCGGGGTGCGATCGCATGGCTGACCGTAAGTATGCAAGCTGGATGCGGTGAAGTGTGATGTGATATAATGAGACCGGTGCCGGTCGCAAGATGGCCGTCATGGTAGGAGGAGCCTCCTGCTGAGTCCGGGAATCGATCCCAGGACTTTCGCGGGCTTGCGCTCTCGAACGGTGAACAAACGTGGGCGCGAAAGGGGGAGGCAGGAAAAGGACGAACGCTGGTGACAGGAAGAACGTAGAGGGACCGATGTACCGCGAAGAGGGCCATGGATAACAGGCCCTTCAACTTTGCCCACCTAATGAGCGCTTTTGATATCCTTATGCTGGATAAATGAAATTATCCACGAGATGATCCAAGGCCACAAATTATGACTCGGAGACAAAGTCCTATTTGTTCGCCGGTTCAACGTTATAATGAAAACTTGTGTAACAACGATGAATAAACGACCATTAGTATCAAAATTCATATTCAGGCTTGAAGAAATAGATGATGATTTTCTTTGACGATGATTTCAAATCTGTTGAATATCACCGTACTGTGTAGGGATATTACAATGCGATAGATCGCATTATAGCCACTCATTTGTCGCAAAGATTCCATTCTTTAATACAAGCTTACGTGCATAACATCAATTCTTACCCGAAGCTATTCATGTGAAGAGCACTGCGTAAGAACGCAACGAAATTTCTACGAATGTTCTCCAGAAGTCACATGGGATGACATAAACATGGGAGACGGCATTAGGGTGCCATACATGCTTGTTGAAATCTAATTACGGGCCCGCATGTAGGTATAAGCGGCTCAAAATCTCTAGAGACCATAAGCATCCTGTTAACGAGAGGGAATGAAGTCTAGCACGTGCTATTTGCAGAATTAATGAGACATCAAAAAACTTTAATTTTGTCAGCAACGACAGGTCATTATTTACAGAAAATATTTTACTACTATAACTGAAAGTCTTGCTATTTTTAATTACCCCGTCTGTCCACACTAACTATCGTACATGTGTACACTTTAAAATGCATAGAATAGAAATATTTCATGAACAAAAACCAAACCGCTAAGTCATGGAATTTCAAAGATATTGAGGAATATTAAGCTCCGTTATCCATGAACCGTTTGTACAATAAGTATAATAATATTTAAATAATTCTTTAATAAGATTTAAATAATTCATTTAATCATTCGATTGGCATTTAATAATCGGTGCATCATATTTAATAATATTATATTGCACGTGACAAAAGTTCAGTCGATTCTGTACGTAAAATTGGGAAAGAGAAGCCGAATGGGTGGTTGCAGAGAGCCAACCCCTAAAGGCCGTCCGCGCACACTCTCTGCAAACACTGGTTGCAGCTGATAAACGTGCGCCGTGATACGGAATGCATTATTTGGATGTTCGCAATCTGGACGTAGATATAACACGCGTACTTGATACTACGTTGCGTTATCTCCTGGAGTCCATGAACACTCGATTTTTACATACCTCGTCTGATAAAAGTGATCAAAAGAACAGGCTATTACCCATAAAACGAGCCTGTCGCCCATTACCCACTCTCCAAACAAACACATAAAACGTGATCAGAAGAAAAAAAAATCGCTGAGAGATCCGAGAGCACTTCAACAGCAACATTAGTTACCAAAAACACGCTCGCTTAGAGCGAGTGGCAAAGCGAGGATCGAGAAGTGAGTCGTTAAAATAACATCGGCACCCCTGTTTCGGCGTGTCACGGGACTAATATGTTTACACGTTCGATGAACCAGCGTCCAGAAGCATAGAGAAAAGAGAAAGGGAGCTGGTTAAAAAAGAGCTGCAGTCCCGGCGGAGTGTCAAGTGTGCGCACGATTAGTGTCCCCGGTGTGGCGTTCATCTCTCAGCGCGTAGCGCTGAGGCGCGGCGAAACGAAATCGTGCTGAGCAACGTGCCTCGGTGCCACGACAATGGGCGCCGTGATGTAACAACATGTGTCGCGTTCGCAGAGCTCCCCTGGCTCTACGTGCGCCATAGGGCACCACAGAATGGGGACCACTTAGCAGCTCGCCGGTTGGTATACAACAAACAGATTAAGCGCCAGACAATAATAGACCCCCCGTCCGCCTCGACTGGTAGCCCTCGAGCACCCTTCAAGATGCACTCCTCGTGCCGTGCGAACCACTCGAAATCACGATAGCTCTCTCCCGAGTTGAAGAGGATGATGCTAGTTTATTCGATTCGGGATACTGCGGCTCAAGTGGAATGATCATTAATTATAGCCACCACCGGTAATACGTGGGCAGAATAAGATTGTGTCGGAAATTCATTTGGAAAATTAGGAGAAGAATCAATTAAAGTAAATAATAGTATTCCAGTTACATGAATATTGGGAGGGACAACTGTTATGTTTTAATACTAAACCCACCGACAGTGTGATAACACGATATCTTTTAATTTTATAAGTTTTAGACTTGCTGTCAAGTTAAAATCATATTAGAAAAACGCGCCCACGAACTATGTTTTTTACTGCTCGGCCGAATTGTTATTTTTTTCAATGCTCGCCCGAGTAAGTACATTCTTCAGCACCTAGCTGAATTATAGTACGTTTCGCCTGCCAGTCAACGACTTGTTCGTACCATGACGGGCCAAAATGACCGGTCTTTAAAAAAGTTATTGTTTTTATAATTAAACGTAGATAATGGTCAATTTGTTGGTGAATGAATTAATAAATGAACAACTTTCACAAAATGACGATGCAAATTTATTTTTATATAATTTCAGTTATAAACTTGAAAAATGTTGAAAATGAACAGTTAGTAGGACAAAGGTACGAGAACAATCAATTTGACCTGTAGTGGTAGGTTTATTAGTGTTAAGAAAAATATTGCCTGCATCGAATCGTGAACGAGGCCGGCTGACGCATAGAAAATTTTCGACAACCATCAGCGACGATCTGTAGCGACAATGAGTTATGTACGGCACGTGCGTGTTCTCATACCTTTATTACCCCCGCATCTCACACGAGATAACGCATCGTGGCATCCGGCACATAAAAGACTCTTGGGGATGCTCTCTTGCCCCTGGTAAACGAACAACTTGCATCCATAAAACAACAAGTGTATAAATCAATATGTAAAACATTCAATGCTCCAAAATGATCCTTGATTTCGATGCTGTCATCATTATTCATATCATTATTTGTAATCTTTCGCGAATTGCGAAATATCAGACTGATCTCTGCTCCATCGTCATGGTAATTTTCACAAAGAGCACGGTCGCTTTCAACCAGCTATGCTTACGAATAATTTCGTAACGCATCGCGCGTTGCCGTCTCGTTCATCCAGATCGAATCGAGTGATCGGCGTGCTGGAGTGTCATTAAGCAAGGAGACCGTGAAATACGCAGTGCGCCTCTCCAGTTCTGTCGGCTGTTCGAGCTCACCGACTGAGCTCGGGATTATTCGGGGATTACGCGAGGATGTTCATTCGAGCTGATTTACAAGGCCGCCCCGTCTCTGCGATTCAGCTGACTGCCTCTTGCGAAGAGACTTGTCGTCGTCGATTCTTACACGCTCGGGGATCTTGCACAATACAGGACTGCGTGTAATAGGGGACTCTCCGAGGTTCTTATACCTGCCGCGTAAAATGAGCCTCCGAGCTTGAATGTTTTGGCGAAACTGCATTCGTCTAGGATTGCTCTTTTAGGGACTTCGATCTTTTCGAGATTTGATCGGGATGTTAGATACGGTGGAGTGAACACATGCCATAGTCGCCCCAAAAATGGTTCTCGATGATTCAACTTAGAAGCTTCGAAAGGATCGAAAATAGGCAGTACAAGAAAAAAAAAAAAAAAAAACACTGAATCTAAATGATTTTAGTTGGGACAAATAGTCTCAATTCTCCTTGAGTTCAAGTTGGAATCCCTATCCGATGGATATTCGAATAAAAGGTAACTTCCAGTGAGCAAACTCCGGCTATCTCGCTGGTGTACAAATAATTCAGATGATAAACGAATTACGCTGGTATTAGATGATGAAAGACGCATTAAGGGCGCAAAGAGACGCCACGCCGGCTTCTGCATTAATGGGATGGTTGATGTAGCAGAACGTTTGACCCCTCGTGCCTTACGGGAAAACATTTACGAGAGAGCAAGAAGAAAATGGGGTGAACGCAAAAGAGGAGAGGGAAAGGGACATCTACACGTGCTCGACTCATGAATCAACTCGTATTAGCGAGGACGTAGCAAGCCTGGTGGGCACCAATCTACCACTCCAACATCGAATAGATTGGATTTCTCAACTTTATTTAATTATCTGGCAACGAGGCGGACCGGAGCCAGACGGAAACACGTCGTTGAAGGTTTTCTGCGAGTGCTGCTACGACAATCAGATAGTGTTTGCAAGTGAAAATAAATATTAACGATAATGGATTTTTTCTCAATAGCGAACGATTAAACAGTTCTTATTTATTTTTATGGAATTATATGTGCAGAATTAATAGTTATCTAACTTGAATGCGCTACATAAATCTTGACTACTTCCACAAGATTAAAAGCCATTTACAGGAGAAGCGTACACATTTACGTAAAAAAATAGGTAATACCTAGATTGTATAATTCGTTCAATAGTAAAAAATGTATGAATGTATTTCCTGCAAAGTTAAAAATCATCTGCCCTTTCTTATTCAGCATTGAAATCCCGTTCTTATGTTTTCATTCTTAACATGCCGATCAAGTGTGAGCAGATGTTTTCGACTAAGAATTAGCTGTTGAGCATTTCATCGTCAAATGCACCGTTTTTCTGTTTCCCTTTTATGCGTCGACAGCGAAATGCTACGGCATGAATACCTGTGTCCAAAAATGCTGATAATCAACCGAGATATGCCGTTCTATAAGATTCCAAAGATTATAGCCTTTCTGAGACCAGCTCCACCCTTCGTGTTTTCTTTCTCATCTTAACCCTTTTATTATCGGAAATCTAGCTATGTATTGGGGCGGAGATATGTTTTATTTGGTGAGTAGTGTATTTGTGTCTACAAAATTTTCACTGTTCGTCCTTACGTACTTAAGTACGTTTTTTCAGGGCTTAGCGGAGTTATTACACCTTGCCTCCCAATATGCGAACTGTTCTCATATCAATTCATACATAAATTTGCTTTAATAACAAATGAATATCCAAACTGTCGTACATATTAACAATCATCAAGCAGGAAATTTACTGTTATTTCTGATCCACCCTACCTAGAGTTAATAACGAGAAACCGTTGTAAATAACTAAAACGGGATGAAAAATTCTGGGGATCGGAAGGAGAGACTGAGGGTGCACGATGATGAGTGCCTCGCGTATCAAACGGGGTGGAGGAGGAGAGGAACGATCGGAGGCGTGGTTCGAGTGCGCACACTCCACGTGACCCCGTCGTTTCCGAAGGCGGGACTTCAGGTCGCCGGCAACACAACTACACCGTCGGTGGAACGGTTCGTCGGGGCCTCTCTGTCGTCGCGCGCGCGGAACACCTCGAGTTGCGCTCGCTCTACGCACAACACCTGCCGCTCGCTCTCGTGCACGTTTTGTTCGCTCCTTCTCGAAAGTGTTCTTCCCTCTACGACCACCGCGTTTCTTTTTCCTCTCTTTTTAATCACCGTCATCGTCGATCTCCCCGAATCGATCGATCAGACTTTTCGGGAGTAAACGAACATGGATCGCGGAAACGCGTCGTCGGATACGACGCGTGCAGAAGAATGAGCCTAGCCAGTTTTGTAACAGCGACTTCGGAGATATCTCGTTGCTATCAATCGAAGGTGGACGCGCGTACAGAATGCTGCTGCCGCAGGATATGATGGCAGCTCAGTCGAAGATGCTGTACCAGATAAACAAGTACTACGGCGAACGGGTGCAGGCGCGAATGGGCCAAGTACAGAAGACGATCCGCGAGGTGTGCAAGGTGGTGCAGGAGGTGCTGAAGGAAGTCGAGATCCAGGAGCCGAGATTCATCTCCTCCCTGACCGAATGCAACGGCCGGTACGAGGGGCTCGAGGTGATCTCGCCCGGTGAATTCGAGGTGGTCCTCTACCTAAACCAGATGGGTGTGTTCAACTTCGTCGACGACGGCACCCTGCCGGGTTGCGCGGTGCTCAAACTCAGCGACGGAAGGAAGAGATCCATGTCCCTTTGGGTCGAGTTCATCACCGCTTCCGGCTACTTATCCGCCCGCAAGATCCGCTCGAGATTTCAGACGCTCGTGGCGCAAGCCTGCGACAAGTGCGCCTACAGAGATTCCGTGAAGATGATAGCAGATACGACGGAGGTCAAGCTCCGTATCAGGGAAAGATACGTGGTGCAAATAACCCCGGCGTTTAAATGTTCAGGCGTGTGGCCACGATCCGCGGCGCACTGGCCGATTCCTCATATACCCTGGCCACATCCGAACCTCGTGGCAGAAGTAAAAACCGAAGGTTTCGATCTGTTGTCGAAGGAGAGCGTGGCACTTCAAGGGAAACAATCTGCCATGGAAGGCGACGCTTGGGTGTTGTCTTTCACGGAAGCAGAGACCAGACTGCTGCAAGGTGGGTGTCGTAGAAGATGTTTGAGTATCTTGAAGACACTGAGGGATAGACACTTGGATCTACCGGGAAACCCAGTGACCAGCTATCATATGAAGACTTTGTTGTTATATGAGTGCGAGAAACATCCGCTGGAGACCGAATGGGACGAGGGATGTTTGGCCGATCGTATTAATGGGATCTTTCTACAGTTGATATCCTGTCTCCAATGTCGCAGATGTCCACATTACTTTCTGCCGAATTTGGATTTGTTCAAAGGGAAATCGCCCAGTGGGTTGGAGAACGCGGCGAAGCAAGTTTGGAGATTGACCAGGGAATTGCTGACTAATAGTCGTGCTCTAGAAAAACTCTAGCGGGATTTTCCAATTTTGAAAATACATCTGGTTCTCGTTTTACACGGTCAAAGCGAGTGATAGGAAATCGTGTAAAAAATGTCAATGCATGATTAGAGTTCTGAAGAAATTGAACTCTGAGTAAATTAAAATTAATGAAAAGCGGGTGACTTCAAAATCGTGTGAAGAAATACCGTGTAAAAGGAGGGTGAGGTGTATGACAAAGGGAAAGACAGAAAGAGGGGCGAGAGTTTCGCGTCGAAATATTTAGTGCATTCGCGTGAATCACGGTGAATTTAGAATGTCGATTTCTCGACGATTTTTCTTGCTCCTTGTGCTCTCGTAAACTGTGGAGACTCTACGTTCACGCGCTATCGTTTCGTTCTCGAAGCTACGTGGACGCAGTAAAGATGAATGTCAGAAACTATTGGATTGACAAATAAGTTCGTTCGATTTCCCCTTTGACGCTGTTTCATTCCAACTTGCATTTGCTTTTCATGCCGCTATTGCACGTTACACATATTACAAATATGAATTTAAAAGGTTATACATTTATTGTTTAATAAAAATTGTTAATATATAATTGAATAAAATCTATCCTGCGTGTCAAAGAGACTGTGTTTCATTCTGTTCTAAAGACTCGAACGAAATTATTTGCCGACTCAATACTAATTTATTTTTCTTGATTGCACCTTAGTCGTGGTGGAAATTATGCGAGACGGACTATAAATATCAGTGCAATATTCGTCAGTGCTTTGTTCCGCGCGAGAACAATTGTTGCTAGGTTCTATGTAAAATGTGTTGCACGTTATGTACGATCGAAGCTTAACGATGGATTCAGGATGCCGACATCGCGACGTTCCTTACTTCTTGCTCTTGTAAATTGCGGAGACTCTACGTTTATGCGCTATCGTTTCGCAAGCTGTACAAGCTACGAGGACGTAATAACAATTAACGTCAGAAGCTATGAATTTATTTATCTCGATCGTTTCTCAACCGTTGTGCAAATAATGCTCAGATCATCGGACTCAGAATATCAGTGCAACATTTTGATTTCAGTGCAATGTTTAGTGCTTCGTTTCGCGCGAGAACAACTGTTGCTAGGTTTTATGTAAAATATGTTGCATTGGATTTTTTCGAAAATTTCATTGAAATGAAAATAAATGAATGGATACGATTGATAATAATGAAATGAGTGATAAATTGAATTTGATCGAGATCTTCACAGAATCGATAAGAATATATTATGTACGATCGAAGCTTCTGCTTGGTGAGGAATCTTGTGCTTGCTAATACAAATCGATTTTTCTATGGTATGACTGCAATGTGCGAGTGACTATTAAATTTATCCGGTTGGCTGCTCTTAAATGAGTGATAGTAAATCGTCGTGTGATCCGTTCTCGTTAAATTAATCTAATGTTTATAATCGGTTAGACATTCAAGCGACCGATGATAGCTCGGCCACGATATTGTTGTACATACTTCTTTATAATTATTTAAACGATATTTATTTATTTCTACTCGAATCGTTCTTCGAATACACAATGTAAATATTCCTTAATAAACGCATTTCATCTCATGACTTTCTCAAATCCTTGAATTCTTCGCTGCCCACCTTGTATAACAAAGCTGCAGCCCAAATTTTACATGAAATACTTCGTTTTCCAAATTTTTCCTACCATACAAAAGAAACCCTTTCTCTTTATACGATACAATTCCAATAATACGTATGAAGTTCCACATACATCGATAAAATTTCCCATAAAACATACCTGTATAATTTGTACCCCAATAATGTAAATAAAATCCCAAAATCGATTTCAATCTGGTTTTAAAGCGGACCATAAAACTCATGGTGAGGCAATTATTATCTACGATATTAACACTTGGCCACGAGTTCGCGGTGTAAAAACGAAACTGCCTCGTCAAAGGCGCATCGCTACCAAGTTTCATGACCACTACACGCCTACGAGGCACGAGTCGTGTTCCTTATCTTAATTGTCCTCGGAAATTCCCTCGGTTATCTCACCGGCACAATGATATTCGTTAGCCGATGCCACTCATTCCTTACCCGGCAATCGTTACGGAGTTTACGTTATTATTATTGCCATTTAAAACAAAGTAAGAGGAAAGTATTCACCCGGGTCGTATCGCGCGGACCGGATTGCGATTTACAAGACTTAATGGCAGAGTTATCGTTTGTCGCGGTTATATAAATGTAGATTTTATACTAAATTTTTTTCCTCCGCCGAGGCGCGTCCGGTTCTCAATAAAACGCTCGTAAACGGAACCGATCCCCTCGTCCCTTCGTCACTCCGCCGTAATTCAACCATCGGACGGGCGCGAAACTTCTTACTTACCGAGAAGCAACCATTTCCAGAAATTTTATTACTAGCCATATGTGCCCATAAATATAAAAGTGATCTAAGCCAAATATTTCTTGTTTCGAAGTATTTAAAAGTTTGCGTTCGAAGAAATTGAAATGCTTTCTTATACTATGTAGCAAAACATTTTTTAATTTAGTTAGTATATTATTATCTGAAGAAATTATACATTTAAAACACATTATAGGGTGCAATTATTCTCAAGAATCTCGTCCACTGAATTTTCAGTAAACCTGATTTATCCGCGGTATTTTTTACTCTTCTCGTTTACCCAGTCGTTTCGTTCAANCTAAGCCAAATATTTCTTGTTTCGAAGTATTTAAAAGTTTGCGTTCGAAGAAATTGAAATGCTTTCTTATACTATGTAGCAAAACATTTTTTAATTTAGTTAGTATATTATTATTTGAAGAAATTATACATTTAGAACACATTATAGGGTGCATTCTCAAGAATCTCGTCCACTGAATTTTCAGTAAACCTGATTTATCCGCGGTATTTTTTACTCTTCTCGTCGTTGATTCTCCCAGTCGTTTTGTTCAAATCAAATACTGGCGTGTCGTTCGTTTTACAGAAAATTCTTTCATTATGTGATTCAATAATTTGGCCTATGGCTTTCGAATAACAGGAAACAGTGATTAGATTTTGTTTAAAGCATCGGTACAGGAAAAATTATACAATCTCGTCTTAAAAAATAGAGATCACCTAGAAATCTCCTCTATGCATGCATCCACCCACCAAACTTCTTTCATATCATTCGCTCTTAAAATCAAGTAAGATTTATGTTTTTTTTTCTTTTGCTACAAATAAGCAACCTGTTCGGGTGGACTGCTTTAGATACCGCATCCTGTAGATAAACAGAACATGTCTCCGGGGAGCTGGACGTAACTAGGCAATCGTTATCCGTACAACGAGGATTCGTAGATCGGTGAAAAAAATTGTTCAGTACGCGGCGAAGCGTGATCGAGGGATCCTCTCCACCGTGACGAGAATTTCGGTGTTCGAAGGGGTTGCGGAGGAATGGCCGAGGTTCGCCGGTATCCTCGAAAATAAAACGAGTCGTATCTGCATAATTCATGGGGGGAAGAAGGGTTCGCGTTTTGGGGTTAGCCGCCGCCGCGGCCGCTTCGTCCTTCGGGCAGAACAGGTCGCCCGGATCGATCCTGACTCGAGGGAAACGTTAAGATCCGCCCACATGGCGTACGAGCTACCAGATTGGTCGAACCGTGAGTTCCGGGGCGTGGTCCTAATTCGAGGGTAGTTACAAGCAATCGTACTGCCTTCGCGCGCTTCGAAGAGCGGGTGGCGCGGAGGAGGTGAACGACGGCGCAGTCGACAATCTGCTCCGGCACGGAGTCCCTCGCACACCTTTTTCTCCTGCTGCTCGTTCGTGTCTCCGATCCGTCGTCCCTGGACGACGCGTGAGAAACGCCGGATTCAAAATACAACCGAGTACCATCCTCATTTCCCAATTGATTTCACTGGCAACGAAGGATTTGCAAGAAGACAGAACAGATGGGAAAACAGCGGCGAAAAGCGTCAGGTTAAAATCGTTCGAAAACCTTTCGGATGTTTGCACACACGATGCGGTGATTGAAGATAAAACACTCGAAGGAGGAGCTCCTGGGCTTCGGGCCGACGCGACGATGCTGTTGCCGGCCGATATGCTGGCAGCCCAGTCGAAGATGGTCTACCAGATCAACAAGTACTTCGGCGAACGCGTGATGACTAGGAAGAGCCAGGTGATGAAAACGATTCAAGAGGTTTGTCGCGTGGTCCAGGATGTGTTGAAGGAAGTCGAGGTACAGGAGCCGAGGTTCATATCGTCGCTGACCGACTACAACGGCCGGTTCGACGGCTTGGACGTGATTTCGCCAACGGAGTTCGAGATCGTGATCTATTTGAATCAGATGGGTGTTTTAAACTTCGTCGACGACGGGACGTTACCGGGGTGCGCGGTGTTGAAACTCAGCGACGGAAGGAAACGGTCTATGTCGCTCTGGGTGGAGTTCATCACCGCGTCCGGCTACCTGTCCGCCCGGAAAATTCGTTCAAGATTCCAGACACTAGTGGCGCAGGCTTGCGACAAGTGCGCTTATAGGGATTCCGTGAAGATGATAGCAGATACGACGGAGGTTAAGCTTCGAATTAGGGAGAGGTACGTGGTGCAGATCACGCCGGCGTTTAAATGCGCCGGGCTTTGGCCCAGGTCGGCGTCTCACTGGCCCATAGCTCACATCCCCTGGCCGCATCCGAACATCGTGGCAGAAGTGAAGACGGAAGGGTTTGACATGCTCTCGAAGGAATGTATAGGATTGCAAGGGAAACAGTCAGCGATGGAAGGTGACGCCTGGGCGTTATCGTTTATAGACGCCGAGAATCGTCTCCTCCAAGGTGGCAGTAGGAAACGTTGCTTAAGTATTTTGAAAACGTTAAGGGACAGACACCTCGATTTACCTGGTAATCCGGTTACCAGTTACCATATGAAGACATTGTTGTTGTACGAGTGCGAGAAACATCCGCACGAGATCGAATGGGACGAGACGTGTATCGCGGATCGGATTAATGGAATCTTGTTGCAACTGATCTCTTGCCTGCAGTGCCGCAGGTGTCCGCATTATTTTCTACCGAACTTGGACCTGTTCAAAGGAAAATCACCTAGCGGCTTGGAGAACGCGGCCAAACAAGTGTGGAGACTCACCAGAGAGCTGCTGACTAACAGCCGTGCTTTGGAAAAACTCTAGAAGACATTGCGAATTGTTATCTTGTTAAAATTCATGCGAAAATGTAATGGACACGGGGAGATGAGTCATGCGTTGATTTCCGCCGGGTTGAACTATACAAAATCGTCGGGAGAATTTTTTGGAAGCTCCACTGCCATGATTAATTAGATGTTTGTGGAAGAAACTGTGTGTGGTATTAAACAACGGCAGCCGCGAGTGTGTGATTTTGTAGTAGAATTCTGAGGAACGATCGAAACAGTGCCATAAATATGTACGTCGAGTCTTTGTTTCGCTTTCGAGCCTCCGACGGCAAACGGGAATTGCGATAATTTAACGATATGCCAACTTGAAACCAGTGCTACTCCGTTGGATTGTTGTGCTGCTTGGTATGAAATCGAAGTTTAGTGTGATTGTCTATGAAATAAACGAATGAATGTTAAATACCGGTTAAATGTACGATAATACCCAACGAAAGATAATCTAGATAACTCCGAACCGGTGGTACTCATTATTGTCGCTACGTCATTTGATTCCAAACAACGGGAAATATGAGAAACGCAATTCTGTGTAGTTATTTGTAGGGAAAAAATAAATTGTTAATGAAGGAGGCGGAAGAGTTAACTGGTTACGAGTTACACTTAGTCTCCTCGTCTAATGGAACTGTACCTTAGCTTCCGTCGCTATGTAAATACTATTTGAAAGATATTTATTAAAAGTGTACACGAGAATGTGAAATACAATGCTATTTATACGGAACCGTAGCCACTTTTTCGTCTGTCGAGAGCAGCACACCCACTCCCTCATTTATACGTGAAATGTATGCAGAGATGTTACGTCGTAAACTTTTTAGAAGCAATCTTTAAACTGTTTAGAACGCACTAACTTCGTCTCGATTAGAACTCTTAAATCGTGTCGTTTCCCTTCACTAGTAGAGACGGTCGAACGGGATTGTCAAACGGGATTGTCAAATGGGAGATCAAATAATTTATCTACGCAACTGTGTTCCTTCGAATCGACGAGATATTTTTACTAACCGTTTGAATGCTCTACTTGTATCATGCCAAAAAATGTGGTCTTTCTTCAACTAGCAAACGTGTTAACAAAAAACTAAACACGTATAACTGGCACTATTAGAAAAAATAGGAAATACGTCCGAAAAACGTCTATTTAGTCTCCACGTTAAACAAAATTTTGTATGAATCATCTATCTATCTCTACCGTAAAATCTGATTCTTATTGAGAAACATTCGAATTTTTATACTTCTTGCTTTCAGAGTTCAAAATTCCAGTAGCGAACTTTTAATGATTCATCGCAAAATGAAACATTGAGTAGAAGTAATCACAATCAGAGAAACTTGAGTTTTCTATGCTTCTAATAGTTCCTCTTTATTTCTGTAAATGCAAGTTATCTTCGGCCGCGTTATTTCTTAGCACCCTTCCAGTTCTAGTTTCTCTACCGGTTTTCCTCGTTGGTAAATAAATTACATCTTATCAGGGCAAGACAGTTCCACGTGTGCTATTCGCTATGTTTACGTGTTACCAGGTGAGATTAGTCACAGAAGTTGTCATACTTAAAACATGCTAATGCTCATAAAGTTTTGAACAAGAATATTATTAGAATAATATGGGTCATGTACATTGCCGCTCAACTTGTTCGGCTGTAATAAAACAATCTAAAAGAATTAAGGAAATCATTAATGAATTTTATTCAATTTCATGTACTTTATACTGTAAAAACTATAAAAAGTCTAGAAAGTATATGTATATGGTCAACATTTCATTAAATATCTTATCGATGACGATATGAACTTGTCTTTGATGCTCCAAGAATTATAAAAGGAACGTACTAGGAAGAACCTAATTCCAATATTTTTTATAATGAGAAATAAAGATCTTGAAACAGTATGTTACACAGTCAGATCGTTTTCACACGTATTTTGTGTATCTCGTTTGCTTCGGAATTCATCAAAACTGAAGTAATAGTCAGGCTAAAATGATTTATCGGATACGTTCTCTCATTAGACAGAGATACATTTTACGTTACATTAGATATGAAGAAATATTAATTACGCTATCAATACATCTCGATCGCGGGTTAATCAACATCATTCGCGCGGACATTTATTGGAACGGATTACGACCGATTTCACGTTTGCATATATTCAGCAGACGAAAACGTTGACTATTTTGAAATTTCCTTGATGCATGCGCTGTAAACACGGATATTAAAGATTGTTAGTTGAATTGCTGCCAGTTTAACACGCGACGCAAAGCTTCTGAATGTTCTCATGAGTAAAACGATCACGTGCACGTATTCGCATCATCTTAGATATGTTTCAGATTTTATACAGTTATTGCTATCATTTTTATAATTAAATCTTTCGATTTTTTTTAATAGACACTAAATATACCGCACACACACTAATATATTATATTTATAATTTTTCCAGTAGTTTAATGCAGTTTATGGTAGACAGTGGTAGCTCTATTTGGTAGCAGTTTAAATAATAATTATAACTTTAACAAAATTACTTGATTAGCAATTTTCTTTTTTAGATTAAATTAGATGATTGATAGCAAGATTAATATAAATTTCGTATCCTTTTCATTTCTTACAGAAGAATTTAAAACCGGTCATTTGACTACATAGTAGGTTTAGTATTAATTAAACGTGTCTCTATTAAAATGCAGAAAAATAAAACACAAATTTATCTAGTTGAATATTAGCACTTTAACTAACCAAGAACTGAGTTTGATTCAATAAATAAATAAAAGATTATCGAAAATGCGTGCTTACATACTTAGTTGCAATATGTATAACACGAACATGTTGGAATTATTCAAGTATGATCTTTTTACAATTATATGTGGAACAGAATATTATTCTTTGCTCAATGAATTACGTCTGCGTCAATTCGAATACGATTATCAATACATTTTTTTATCATGCTGGAGATTTTTACTCTTGTACTCTCGGCTAGAATATTAAGAATTATCGATGTTCGATTTCCAGCAAGACTGAGAACAACATGAAAAAACGTTTCATTTTTTCAATTGATCAATATTTGAACTGATATCTGCAGATGCATGGTGCACACTTGAATGATATTCCCTCTCACGTATACTCGCATATGTATAGAATACTCTGAATAAAATGTCAGTTTAAAGAAATTCCAAACAGTTCACGTTTTACTTGAAAGAAACGTGTAAGCTCCTCTTTCGGATGACTCATTATGATATAAGCGTTATCGCTTTTTGAGTATAAAGGCTGGACAAAATACATCGTTAGTCGAAAGCGGAAAAAGGAACGTGCATGCGATGGCGTGTTTAATAAGCGCCTCGAAAATTTTCGTATCGTGAATGTAGACCGTCGCTGATCCGTCGTCCGTAACCAAGTTCGTTGATTAAATATTAAGCAGTCATGCGTGCGACAAATTACCACGGTGAATAAATTTACATGTTTATCAGGGCATTACCGCGACTTTTAACAAAACTCGGCTGGAGATTCCAAAAAAGCTGTCGCTGGGAAAAATCCGACGGAAAGAAACACCGTTGTTACATGCATACTATTCCTGTATAATGAGATTTAATTGCTAACTCTTTTACGACCCCAACAAACTTATTCGATCATAAATTGTGTTTAAAAAATTTCACAATTTTCTCGTAGAAGAATAAACTACGGATCCATCGAAATTATCAACGTGGCGAGAGGTCGCCAGGAAGAGAGACGAAATCCTCGGAGGAAGGTACGAGCAGAAATAAGAAAACGAGGAGAAAGATTCAGGCATGGTATGCTAATGAGGTCAGACGCTTTCCTCTTTTTTTGCCGCAACGTTCTTGCGAACCTCGTGTAACAGATTCTATGCGTTAAACCGCCTCTCACGATCCACGAGGATGGCCGATCTCGAGATCGATCTCGGCCGCGGACCTCCGTGAAAATAACGACGAGGATCCGTGGAAACGGGTTTCTTGATTGGCGGTATCGATTCTCAAAGATAACCGGAGAAGCCGAGTCAGGTCAACACATGGTGCCCCATGAGCGAGTGTCCACTTTCCTTCGTGGACGTTAACAAGTCGTTCGCATTGACTCAAAGAAATTTACTAAACATATCGTACGTAATTAGTGGGAAAGTTAATTCATGAAGCTTTAAGGGCATTGTTGTCTTACTACATTAGCCAAGTACTACTATGTAAACGGATCTGGATACAAACTATGTAGCGTAGATTTATGAATAATAATAAAGCGTGTAACACTCAAGATTTCTTTTTTAATGTACAATGCCACCGTACTACACACTCAGATGTGCTCTCCGAAATAAATTTTCGTGCACGCTTTCCACTATATTTTCCGTTTTTAGTTCTTCGAACGCCAAAATAATCCTTGCTTTTAATTGTGGAAAACTTGTGTTGCCTTCGAAATAAAATTTTGATTGAATATGACCCCACAGATAAAAATCAAGGGTTCATGTTTTTACACAAATGGATAAAGTAAATAATGTCTTGTATCGAGATCCGTTTAATCACGACGTAGTCAAGCGCGTGCTCAGAGCAAATTCGGAATCAATTTTCACGAAATCAAAGCATTAATTAAAAAAAATTTATTTCATAGTTTCAATTTATTGTTTCATGTACAATCACTCTATCACGGTTGTGATACTGGAGTAAATGTACACAAGACTTTAAAGAATTTTCTCGATTATTGAGACTTAGACTTAGAATTTACTGGCACTTTAATACGGAACTTTATTTTCCATTCATTTTCTAATCTCGAAGGAAAAGAAGTGTTCAGAGACACAGTTCAGAGGTAAGAAACGAAATGAACAAGAGCGTAGGCAGAGAAGCTGGACATCGGAGAAGGTTCTCTGGCTCTTCGTCCTCCTTGGTTGCCAGGACCTCAGTCGCTATAAAACGCTCAGATAAAGCCGCGATGTTTATATGCGTGAATCGCAGCGAGAGGAGTGCCGTGTAGAAGGAGAGATATACCTGGCCGGCGACCAAATAATAAGACAAAAGCCGGGGGTGGACGATGCGGTGGAACAAGTAGGGGTCTCACCGCCGCGCCGGGACTAAGGAACACGGGACGGGAACGGGAGAAAGCGAGGAAGGGAGTATCAAAGACGGCAGATAGGTCGAGGGAACAGAAAAGAAGGAAACCGGACAGGAATGTACGGATAAATGCGTCCTGTTTGCGGAGGATGCGGGACTCTATTTCGCGTTTATCTCGCGAGGACCTGATTCTCATTAAAGCGCTCTCTTCACGATCAGTGGCTTCAATCGTGCGCGAGCGACTCCAGGTATATTGAGAACACGCGTACCGTCGATAGTCGTGCATGCGTGATGACGGTCGGATGACGAGCCGGAGACGTTGTGCATGGGCGTGTAACGAAGATTGAGCAGTTGATTATAGAGAGACATTTTTTGGTTTCGTACATAATCTTACATCGTAACGCTTAGAGATCATGGTCGTGATATAATACGATCTGAAAGCGTGTTTCGTTGTGATAAAGTGTTTCTGATGTACATACACTTTTATCAATAACTATGGATAATTAGAATTTTGGTACAATCAATGAATCATTTCATATTCTTCAAATCGGACGATCAATCTCGCTGATTCACAGCAACTAAACAAGCGAGATGTTTTGAAAAGAATAGAAAAAAGCATTTCTCAGATCCCTGGCATAATTATTTCACCGGGTTACGTTCATTCGTTTCACTGTCCAGCGTGTCGCTATCCCTCGATATCTCCGAGTTTTATTGG